GTAAAGAAAGTGGGCGGCCGGGCCAGCTGGCCATGGCGCTCAGCCAGGGTGCACCACGCTCCACATGGGCAGGCGCAGAGGGGAAGCCGCCCAATCAGCTGGAGCACTGGGCGCCAGCTGGCCATGGCGCTCAGCCAGGGTGCCACCAAGCTCCACATGGGCAGGCGCAGAGGGGAAGCCGCCCAATCAGCTGGAGCACTGTTCAGCCTCCTCTGGGCTGAACGCCACAGCCAGCAGGCCAGGCAGCTTCTCCTCTGCGCCAGCCCACATGGAGCGTGGTGCACCCTGGCTGAGTGCCATGGCCAGCTGGCCGGGCAGCTGCTTCTCTTCCCTCCAGCCCAGCTGTCCTGCGCTCAGCCCATGGAGGCTGCGCCTAGCTCCAGCTGTGAAAGCCACAGTCAGCTGGCTGAGGTGTTTCAGCACTCCCAACCTCCCAGCTCCCACCATTCCTCACAGCTACTCACCTGTGTTGTTGCTCAGTGAGTAGCTGCTCCTCAAATGAGGAAATCTAATGTAAATGTACTGCACAGATCAGAGAGGGCTCAAGAGCTACTCTTAGAGCCCCTGAGATCTACTGGTAGCTCACGATCTACTGGTTGGTGACCACGGGTTTAAAAAATGTAATTTTGCACGTGACTATTTAAAGCCAAGTTTACTATACAAATCTGACAATTATTTTGGCTTTCTGTACCAACCTATGGTATTAATCACTGCAAACCTGAACAACTAGAATAACTAAAGTAGTAAAGCTTCAGGGGATAGCCAAGTTAGTCTGCACAGGATAAACTGAAAAAACAAAAACTGGTGGCTGTCTTGTCACAAAAACTCTACCAGTCAAATACACAGAGAAGTGTTGGAATTACAATTCATCAGCAAGTTCAGTTCTCATGCTAATGGCCTCAATCGGGATGGCTGGGATATTACACAAAAAGCTGTTTGCACCTTCATTGAATGTTAGGGTTGGTAGATTCTTGCGTTAGTACCCTCCCTATCTATTGACTTTGATCCTTATCTGCTTTGTTTTAACTATCCAATCTTCAGGTGCTTACTGATGGCCTGTTCTGCCTTCCTGTTTTTCCCTTTGATATTTTTATTACCTCTGCTCCTTGTTTCTCGCCCCCCTCCTTTTTTTCCCTTTCTCCCCGATTTATTTTGGGTCTGCACATCCTAAACTCAAAACTCCGCCCATCTTAAGAAGTGGGCTATGCCCACAAAAGCTCATGATACCATCTATATGTTATAGTAGTAAAACAATTATCTAGTATCATATTTCTGGAATACTTTGTATTTAGGGTAAGCTGTATAATTACAAACTGATTTCCATAATGCCTTGTATGCATGCTGAGATTTATTGTGGACATTTGCTATCACACTGTAAACTTTTTTCTTTGAATATGCAGAATCCATCAGAAGCAAGATGCATGCTTTGTTAAATTTTGTTGAGTATGAAAAGTGTACAAAATACACTTACTGCAAACATTTCAATTAGGGATGTAATAATATAACCATTTAAATGGTTAACTGATAACCCTGGGCTTTTCAGTTACCATTTACACAAAAGCTCCCAGCCCCACTACTGGAGAGCCAGCTGCCACCTTGCACAGGCTGGCAGACAGCTCCCCGAGAGCAAGTCTGTGGGCAAGAGCTGGCTACCCCATGCTGCTGCCTCTGATGCAGAGGTAGCAGCACAGGGTGGCAGACAGCTCCTAGGGAGAAGGGCAGCACCAGCTCCCAGAGCCAGCTGCTGCCCCATGCTGTGGACTCTGCAATATAAAGCTTATACAGGTTGAACCTTCCAAATCCAGGATTCTCTGATCAGGCAACATTTGTGGTCTGGCAGGGCCACCAATGTTGCTGGACCAAAGACCCCAGAGGTGGGAGCAGGAGCCAGCTGAGAGAACACTAGGCTGGGGAGCCCCAGCAGAGCCAGGAGTGGCTGAAGCAAGCAGAGACCGGAGAAGCTCCCACCCTGGTCAAGTATCCCCTAGAGTCAGCTGGGCCAGGTGGCCAGGGAATCCTGACCTCAGCTGGGGAACCCCTGCTGCAGCAGGGCTTCAAGTGACTGGCAGCCCAGCCAACCCTCTCCCCTTCCCCCTGAGGCAGTAGGGCTGTTGGAGACAAGGTGGGACCCGCAGGATATCCCTGATAGCAGCGAGGCTGCACTGGAAAGCTCCAGCCACGGAACCCCTGGCTGAAGTGGGGCTGGCAGAGGCAGGTGGCCCCAGCTGGGGAACCCCAGGGAGTTCCCAGCAGCAGTGGGGCTGGTGGTGGCTGAGTGGCCACAACCTGGGAACACCGTGTGGCAGTGCCGCCGGCAGCAGCCAGGCTATCCCGGCCAGGAACTCCAGGAGACCCTGGGGCAGCGTGTAGGCAGCAGAGTGGCCAGTGTTAGCGGGACCAATGGCAGAGCAGGGAGCAGCGACCTCCCCAATCCGGCAAACTCCCTGGGTCAGGACAGGTCAGGTCCCGAGGGTGCCAGCCCAGGGAGGTCCAACCTGTTCTTCAGAGCCTGTAACTACTGAGAATTTTCAGCAGTAACATTGTTACCTAATTAACCACTTTTAAACATCCCAGGTTTTAATGGTGGCTACTTGTACTCTACCATCAACTAATATCTGAAATAAGCAGAAATCTAGAAAAAGAAAAAAATGTGTCTGATCTGTTGTTAACAAGGGGAAAAAAATACGAGCTCAGTGAAGCTCATAATTTGGAACAGAGTGAAAATGTAACTGTTACAAGTCTATTCTCCAATTGGTAATGTATAAACATTTCTCTATTATAATGATCTAGCTTTGATTAAAAGAGCCTGGTTGTCTGCTGTCTGAGTAATAAAGAAACTGAATTTTCAGTAAGACACAACATTCAATATTGAAGCTAATGCACTTGCTATTGTAAACATACAGTTAGAATTTCTCTGAATACTTTCCATCCATATTGAATTCCAGATTGTTTAGACAGCAACATGCTCTTCACTTTTTAGGACTCAAAAAGCAGCAATATTTTGCTGCTGACAAAAAGAATATTTGAATATTTGATTCTGTATTTTACTTTAACCCATTCTTATTACAAAGTGAATCATCAATGTACAACTCAATAGTGCTAGTATAAAGCATTATCTAACCTTGATAAAATCTCTGATGAGTTGGGCTGCTTTAACCCCATTCTGTACATTAAAGCTGATATCAACTTTTACTTCAGTGAAGGAATCTGTCAGTTTAATAATAGGTACCTGACAAAAGAGCAAGATATAAAGTTAATATTTAACTATCTGAAAAGGAAAAGCAATACTAAGTATCCATGATATACTTAGCTTCATTAGTAAAATATGATTTGTGTAGGTATTTGCACATTTCAACTGTGTTATAGATTTTACAAGGAAGGGATGGGGGGGAAGAGAGAGGGGGGGGGAAGGAGACAGATTACAGGAACCTGTAATTTTAAGATCGTACCCCTTTTATGTACGTTTAATTGAATTGGGAATGATTTTCTTAACTCATTCTGAAACTATTTTAAATTTAAAATCTTTTATGCATAATATTACTCTGATTTTTTTAAAAATACTGTAAAGTAAGTAACTGAAGTCAAAACACTACAATTTTTTAGTAAAAGACAAACACCAGAGGGAGACTGATGCACAACAACTAAAGATCCCTGACTTCATACAAATATTATTAATGAGAGGAGGAAAGAGTAGGTTTACACTGCACACGAATTCTGGTCTCTCACTTAGGTTTGAGCCCAGGCCCCCTTTAAATTCACAAGGAAATCAGTCTGACTTGGGCCAGCAAGCACTCAAGAAGTCAAGTTCCAGGACTGTGCTAAGAGAATAAAATCAGAGCCCAGTCTTACTGCAGCTTGGGGTCTAGTCTCTGTTGTTTTGCAGTAGGGATGCAGCTCCAGTCACAGGGTCAGAAGGCCTGTACAGTGAAGTATGGATGCAAGACCCAGGTCTAGGAACTGTAAGCTTAGGTTTACAATGCAGCATGAAAGCTTAAGACCAGGCTCAAACACCAGTTACACAAGGTTGGGTCCACAGACACGGGTTTACAATGCAGTTTAGACAAACCCACAAAGCAAATTTATCCATCCATTTAAAAAAAAATTACAAGACACGTTATGAGTAATAAAACTGTCACTAAATAAGCAGATTTGATTTTGAACATCACAAAGCAGAATCTGAGTAAAATGGTGCTATTTTCAAATGCCCTTTTCAGAGTAGACATATGCTTTAAGAAACTAAAGACGACTTACAGTTGCTTTGTCTAGAACCTTTACTGAATCTTCATCTGCTACATTGTGCTTTCTAAGAGCCTCTTCCAAGGTCCAGAGAGGCAAAGTCTCCCATTTTCCAAACACAACTAAGTCAATATCACTGAAATTACAAGAGAACATAAAAATAGTAGAGTTAAAATAAAGACTGATACTAGATTTGGGTGCATTTAAAAGTGCATGATTGGAAAAACACCAACAGAAAGTAAAACAGCACACTGAATTCTCTTAAGTGGGAAGAAGATAAGAATTAAAATATATAAGAGTATTTTTTTAAATTTCTAAAGCATAAGGCGGCGGACAAGGTGGTAATATATCTTTTGTTGGACCAACTTCTGTTGGTGAAAGAGACAAGCTTTTGAACGCCACAGAGCTCTTCTTCACGGGACTCGATTTCAGATAAAGCTAAAAATTATTTATTTTACCAAAAGAAGTTGGACCAATAAAAGATATTACTTGATCTACCCTTCTGTCTCTCTCAGTCTGGAATCACCACAGCTACAACACTGTAATTATATTAAATCAGACAGCAAGCTATCATCTGGATAATTTGATAATGTGATGGGGGAAAGAGGAACAGATTGGAAGTAAATTGTTCAGAAGAGCTATGAGCTGTTAATGTATGAAAACAGTCAATGCAATCATTATATTAATCACAGTAATTTCTAAATATCTAGAACAACCTTGAAAGAGTAAAGTAGAGTTTTTCAGTCCTACTATGCATCAAACTGGCTGCCTCCACTGCACAAATTAAACTAAGAAATATCACAAATAGAACCTCTCACCAAGAGAGATCACACACGTGTTCACTAAATAAATACCGAAGCAGAGTTTTGAAAAATATATTTAGGTATTTGAAGTGTTTTAACTAAGCCTCACTAGTTTTCTGAAGATAGTATATCCTGATTAGAATAAATAGAGCACTTTTCACTGCAGGAGAGAGGAGATCTATAGGAGTCCAGTTTGGGCAGTAGATGAGGTTTGCAGGGATGGTTTTTTTCTGATGTATGCATGGAAAGGAGTGGATCAACAAACTGACAGAACTAACTTAACTATCCAGTATTACACTACAAGTTTCAAGGAAAAACAGAGTTTATGAACACAAAGGAATAATTATCAATGTTCTCAGAGAAAACAGATTTCAGAATAATTAAACGTAGCATCCATCTAATGGGAATCAGTCTTGGTGAACATTTTAATAGAAATTTTAAAGGTGCCTAAATGACTGTGCAATTTTCTTAGGGTGCAAAAAAGTCTTTACATTTTAAAAACTGTGAAAAATGTTTTGGAGGCTTTGAAGAAGCTGAGCTATTTTTTTTTCCAAATGACTATGCAAGAATACAGCCAAATTTAAGCAAGCAACATGTTACCTTGGGGACTTGCATTTCTGACAGACCTATAAGTCAGAAATTTAGCAACTCGGTTTGATTTTTTTTTCTTGTTGCTCAATAAGTCAAAGCCAATTGTATAAAGAAGTTTAATTAATTTGGTTCCTAATTTTAAATTAACATTTTCCACCTAAGAGGAGATGAAAAACAATAATTACAAAACAGAGAAGAATATTGTAGTTAGGTTCGGTGATCAACCAATTACTCTTCCTGAAATGTTCGCTAGGAAAAAATACATTTTAAAATAGTCTTTAAAGAGAAGTATTAATTACAGGACTCTATCCTGTAACCATTAGTAAACTTGAAGCTTATTTATATTTTACATTTTTAATTGGAAAAATTATTTTAAAACACTAATGTGATCTTGTAATGAACTTTCTTTAGATGGAACTTAGCCTCCTATTTGGGTGTGTCTAGACTACAGAGTTTTGTCGACAAAACTATACCTGCTTCTACACTACAGCTGAGAAAACTCAGCAGTTTTGTCGATGCTGGTAAGCCTCATTTTACGAGGCATAACGCCTTTTGTCGACAGAGTTCTGTCGACAGAAGGTGTTATTGCATCTAGGGTTGTGTCTAGACTACAGGGTTTTGTCGACAAAGCAGCTTGCTTTGTCGACAGAACTGAATGTGCTCTAGACTCTCTTTGTCGACAGAAGCTTTGTCGACAATATATGTCGACAAAACTTCTGTAGACAAAAGCCTGTAGTCTAGACGTACCCTTTCATTATGCTCATTGTTTACATCATTATACAAAAAAAGTCTGGGTTCTTAAAAAGATTTATTCTCCTATCTTAGTGGACAAAGATATCAACCAAACTGATTAGTTACTATTTTAATGTTTTAATTTCTTCTTTTGGAAATTGGATTCAGCTTCTCTTTTAATGAGATAAATAGTTTAATACCTGAACTCAAAGGTCAAGCTTAAATCATGTCACATGCTGGGGGAAAAAAATCCAAGTGAAGTGGGATAAATCTAAGATTTTACTATGATTTACTCTTATAATTAATTAGACTGAATTACAAAACAGTTTATTTTTGATAATACTACAAGTGGGGTTATATTTTAAATTAATACAAATAGGATCTAAACAAGTGGATATATCCTATTTCAGAAGTTCCATCTTTATTTCTTTTATTTTTACAATGTATTCTACTGGGAGGGCTAAATATACCTTTAGGCTTGGGCTGTTTTCAGATTTAGTCAGACATTTTAAAACACAGGGCAGTCTTTTAAAAAAAATCTAATCTTAATCATCAGTGAAATGGGTACTATATAAAAGTATCTGCATAAATGTCATCTTTCAATATAAATTGATAAAAATATATTACATAAGTCAGTAGTTAGAAAAAGAGTTGGGTGACAAGTGCACATACCACCCCAGGAACATGATTTTATTATAGTGCACGGAAATTCAACATATAGCAATGTGAATAGAAAAGGAAGAGACTTCAAAAGATGTGTAAACAATGTATAAGAAAGTTAAGAAAAGGTACTAACCTAGTTGGTAGATATAAACCAGTTTTAAAACTTCCAAATATCTGCACCTGTAACAGAGAAATAGGGCATTAGAATGCATCACAAATTTCTGAACAATTAACTACTGAGTACTGTAACTAGTAAAGTTTGACTATTGCTACCCTCCACTGGTAGTTTTAGGTATTACTGAAAGATTTTACAAGACCATAAAACAGGAATTTGGCAAACAAGTATTTAAATCTTTAACTTTAAAAGAAGATTAGAAAATAGAGTACTGTAGCAATAGTCATTATGTTAGGGAAATGCATAGACAGAAGAAAGTATCAGAATAAATATTATTTCTAATTAAAGTGATGTTTGTGACAGTAGAGCTCTAACTCCATCAGTTTTTCCATTACAAATCCTTCATTTTGAAAATACTTAAGAGTATAAGAAACTATTTTCAAATATAATAAAACTAGACAAAAGCATCAGAGTCTTTGTGTTCTAGCACTATAGCCAATCATACCTTTATGCAACCACAAATATACGCTAATATCTCTCTCACAAAAGTGTTGCATATGCTAACTTTTTGGAGTGGGCTGAGTGCTATTAATACTATACTGCAGCGTTCTTCTGTTGCTGCTGGTGCATTTTTTTTGCTTGCATTAGGGATGTAAAATCCTATTTAATTGGTTAACCAGTTAAACATATTATTTAACCAGTTAACCAATTAAAGGGAGAGTGGACGGTGGGGCACCTCCAGCCCAGCTAGAGTAGCTTCCCCGCCCACCTGAATCCCGGACGGAGCAGCCTCTGCCTGTGAGATCTACTGTAGACAGAAGCTGCACTGGCTGGGCTAGAGCAGTGCCTGCCTGTGAAGCACCCAAGCACACCATAGACGGAGGCTGTTCCAGCCCAGCTAGAGTAGCTCATTTGCAGTGCCCCCCTGCCAGGCAGGAGCAGCCCCCTGCCTGTGGCAGGTGGGAAGCTGCTCCATCCCCCTCTGGTTAACTTTAATCAGTGAGGCTTATCAATCCACTTGTTAAACATTCACATCCTTAGCTTGCATGTAGCCTAATTATATTTTTGGTAACATATTTACAATCTTAGTGCATGTATACACGTAATATGCTACAGTGGCATAGATGCACCTGTACCATTTTAACGATTCAGAGAAGACACTGCCTACACAATAGGAAGGCCTCCCCTGTTACCATTCAGGATGTTAAAAAAATTTATAAAAAGTAGTAACCAATGAAAATTATATCTATTACATGGTTAAACATTGCCAGGGGATAGGAATAGAGAAGGAGGGAAGGGTGCTGGAGAGCTGCTAGCGAGCTCCGGGTGAGCTCTGCGGGCTGCCATAGTTTGCTGGGTGACAGTGGGCTCCAGGTCCGAAATGCTAATGGGCTCCAGGCTGCCACAGGCTCCATGGACTGCCACAGTTTGCCAGCTGGTGGCAGGCTCCAGGTCTGGGCTACCAGGGCAATGCGCTCCTGGGACCTGGTGGACTCCGGGTCAGCTCAGTCAGACTCTGGACTGCCTAGTGACTTTAACCATTAACAGGAATGGGTAAGTATCAGCGTAACTGGTTAAACTCTTACATCCCTAGTCAGCACATTCCACCACCCTGAGAGATGGCAGGTATGTTGAAGGGCAAAGCTCTCCTATCAACATAGCACTTTCTCACTGGGAGTTATGTTGGTGTAACAGCATTGTTCAGAGGTATGGGTTTTCTGCACCCCTGAGCAAGAGTTTTACAAACATAAGTTGCTAGAGTAAACCAAGCCATACTGGCTTTTTCCTTCTTCTCTCTTGGATTTTGAAGACATTAACACAATGCTACAACCTTTACCATACTACCTACTAGGGATCAGAGATGTCAAATGTAGTTGAATCAATTAATCGACTAGTCGACTGGCCCGGAAGCTAACCCCGCTGCAGCTCTGCCTTTTAAATGTATTAAAAGCCTGTCAGCTCTTACTACATTTAAAAGGCTAAAACGCAGCAGGAAGGACTCAGTGCAAACAGGAACAGCAGATTCCCGGATCACGCAGGATCCCCCGCACTGTGCACCTTAATACATTTAAAATACACTGGCTCTTAATACATTTAAAAAGCAGAAGTGTGTCTGGGACTAAGTGTGAGCTGGGAATCAGCTGACAGGCAGCAAGGGGGGCGAGGAGTGACTAGTCAAGGGATTAGTCGACTATCCTGATAAGCTTATGCTTATCGGATAGTCAACTAGTTGCTTACATCTCTACTAGAGATATTAAAATGCATTTAATTAAGTAATCACGTAACCTCTGAAAATTTCAGCTGTTACACACGGGGGTGGCAGTCAGCTCCCGCCTGCTCCCCTGCTCTATTGCCTATGTATCAGAGGTGGGAGGGGAGAGAGGCAGCCCCCAGAGCCTGCATGTAACACTGAAAGTTAACTTCTGAGCCTGGGCTCATTAACTGTGTACATGATTACATTTTCACTTCCCTACTACGTACCTAGATATATTCATTCTAACACACAAATCCTGACAATGCCCACAAATTAATGCAAAACAGGAACTCTATGCAGGCCAATTTATATTCCTCTCCTCTCCCACCCCAATACTTAAAAACACTGAAATTATGTTTGCCAATGTGAATATACAGTAAAACTCCAATAGTCCAGCATCCAATTGTACAGCACTCCTGATACTCCAGCATCAAAATGGCAAGAGCCCAGTAAGTAAGCTTTGGCTAAAAACGAGTCACAAGGCAGCAGCGGCAGCAGCTGAACAGAGCAAAAAGGGTAAAAAAAAAAGGTTAAAACGCTAAAACAATACTGTATTCAGTATGTACAATAAAAAGGGTACAGTATATATAACCATTTTATAGTACCTCCTGATAGTCTGTCATATCCAATAATCTGGCACCATCTAGGTTCCAAAGGTTCCGGATTATCAGAAGTCTACTGTACTTAAGTTTACTACTCGTGTCCTACTATGGTGATGCATATTTCAAGCGCTATGCAATTATGACAATATCAAATGTTTTCTAACCGTTGCAAAGGACTGTGTAAGTAGAATGTGTAAAGCTTTCCTCTAAATATCATTGTGACAACTTTTGTTTAAACACCACAAGATTTGAGGTTCACTTTGTCAAATTATTTTAAAGGCCTTCCCTTAAAAAAATCACTAAATTAATTACAGTGAAATTCAACAACAAGCCTTTCTTATGGTGGAACTGATCTGATGCCATTTTACAAGGAATGTTTCCTTCTAAGCATGTGCCCCTCAAATAAGAGAGCAAATGACAACTGCCGAAGTCTACAAATAAAGTTACAGTATAGAGGCATAGTTTTACCCAATCACCTTTTCACCACCTTCCTGAATGCAGTTGGGGTAGCACAGAATGTATGTACCAGGTCTTGTTTTAAAGTTTCATTATGAGTACACATTTTATTTTTTGTGCACAAAACTGATTTCAACATTCATGGTGTTTATACCTTCTTACCAGTTGTATATTTTGACATGAAAACACACAAGAACACTTAATCTTACTTAGTTCATTTAAATTCAAGTTACACTGTAACTGGATGCGTCATATCTGAGGCTTATAGGATTTAAAAGCAACTCTGTTCCCAACTTAATGTGAAAAGCACTGACTAGAACCAAGGACAGAAAAACGAGGCACCACTTACATTTCCTTTCCCCAGTAAACCACCCATCCTTTGTGTTGGGGAAACAATATTGGCAAAGGGCCACTACTGTAGAGGGGCGTGGGAGGGCGACCCACCACATAACACTCTCCCACCCCTTCCTCCTCCTCCCACAGCCTGGGGAAGGGTCAGGACAGCCTCCCTCCACCCCAGGCCCCTGCCCTACTCCATCTTTTCCCCTGCTCTGCCCGCATCCCTCCTCTTCTCCCAACCCATGCAGCCTGCCCCACACTTGCCGCCAGGAAGCAGAAAAGTCTCACCTCCTCCCACCTCCCAAGGGATGCACCAGGAAAGCAGAGCAAACTGGAGATCACATTGCTCTACTTCCTCTGATGCTGCCAGTGAGTGAAGGGAGGACCCAGCTGTGGGCACCAAGCTCCCCTGCTAAGCCGTGGGCTGCCCAGAAGCTCTGGGTCCACTGGCAAGTCTCTTGCCCCTTCCACTCATGGCATTGGAGGGAGCACATGCTCCTCATGTCACCCTTGAATACTGGATTTCTAAAGTACATTCCATGGAGTGATTTTACTGTAATACCACCTTATTTAAAATTAATCAGTTTAAAATTGAAAGCACATGCAAAGATTATACAAGATGAGAACTACAATAATAATTTGAGTCATGAGTAACAGCATTATGGTATCATCTTTACCAGTCGTCTTCAACCCTTCTACACCCAAGATCACTTTTTAAATGTCAGGGCAAGACAAGATCCATCCCATCCCGTTCCCAAGACTCCACCACTTTCTTTAGGCCCCTTCCTCTGTTCCCCTCCTCTCCATCATTTGCTGTCCCCAGCCCTTACACTTCACTCTCACTGGGTTGAGACAGGTGGTGTGGGCTCTGGGGTGGGAATGAGAGATTTGGGTGTGGGAAGAGACGAAAGGTGCAGGCTCTGGGAGGGAATCTGGGTGCAGGAGGAGGTGGAGAAGGGGCTGCTGGCTCAAGGAGGGGGCTCCAGGCTAGACAGTGTTGGGGTCAGATGGACGGTTGGGGTACTGAGCAAGCCACAGGCTTGTGGATGTGAGGGTGCAGGAGTTCAGGTTGAGGTCTATGAGGGGCTCAGGGAAGGGGGGTTGGGAGTATGATGGGCTCAGGACACAGACCTGCAGTGTGTAGATGGTGCATTCGTGTTGTTACAGAAGACTGGGGATGTGAGAGGCTCAGGACAGGGGGTTCCGGTGTATGAGGGGCTCAGGGTTGGGGTGTATGTGGGGATGCAGGGGTGTTATGATGCTGTGGCCAGATGGGACCTTGGCCTCAACTGGGGGCTTGTTGGCAAGGCTTCATTTTTAAATAAATTATTATGTCCAACACAAAACATTTCAGCATTGTCTTTAATTTATAGGAGGGGCGGGGAACCTGTTTTGGATCAGGGGTCACTGACCTACAGAAAAATCAGTCAGGGTGCACACAAGTGAGATGCAAAAAAACCCACAACCCTTCCTGAGCAGTTGGAGCTGACCCAGTCCCAGGACTCCTACTCCCCTCACCGGCAGGCAGCAAGGGGAAGGAAGTACCCGGTGGCGCGACAGACGCAGCATTTCAGGAAGGGCCAGGAAATAAAACTTGGAATAGACTTCTGGCATCACCATTGTGGTCTGTCACCATGATGTTCCAAAATAAGAGATGTCATGTAATATGAAAAAATGGCCCTCAGTGGCAACTGGCAATTCTAGATTTATCTTAATGCAGCTTTCTGTACTGTATAGTAGAGTGACACAAGCTAAACCTAGTTAACTAATTCAACAAGACATAAGGATTAGCTAAGCTTTTTCTTCTAGCAACATCTAATATAGTCAACAACTTGGGAATTTACATGTCAAATCACCCTTATAATAAAAGGCACAGAGTCTTGAAGAATGGTGCATTGCAATGTTGATCCACATTTTTCTTCAGACATAGCCACAACTTCCTCCACTTCATTTTCTCTCAATAAGCAGTTTTCCTTACTTGACACATTCCCCCCCCCCCCCCCCTGCTTTTTTTTTTAAACACAGGGAAAAATTTCTTCAAAATATTCCCAGGGTAGGAGGGGGAAAAGTCTCTTACTCCCATATGCCATAGCAGTTTTTCTGTGGAAAAAGTGTGGGTGAATATAGGAAGCCGTGTCTATGCTAAATGTCTTCCCTTTTTCTTTCCTGTCTACTCCACTGTTCCTCTCTATACTGTCTCTGTCCTTTCCTACATATTGTCTCTGTCTTTAGACAATATCTTAACTAACTCCTCTGTCATGCTTGGCCCAGAGCCACCACCACATAAGGCACAAAACAAAAACAGTACTAACCAGTCTATATCTGCTGAGAAACAGAAACTGAAAGCCCAGAACTTTAAAGAAGCAAGAGCTGATTATTAGGCTCAACAGATTAGAGCCATTAATTCATTTTTATGAGACTATACATGTAGGTGTAGCATGTTTGTGATGAGATTTAATTGTAACGTATTTTTAAATGAGAAACGTAGTATTTTATTGATTTAAAAAAAAAAAAGAGAAAAAACAAACATCCAATTTAAATAATTGATTTGTATCCACTCTGATTCTAATAAAGTTGTAAAGCTAAAATTATTTATTCTAAATAGAAAAATATGAGATAAAGGCCAAAACAGCTCCTGATTCATCAGTTGCTTTTAGGAAACCAAGGTTGTGTAAGTGCTACACCCACCTTTAGAGCCTCATCTTCAGGAGCCAGAATGGGAGAGACAGGAAGGGTTGCTACAGTACACCAATGGGCATTTGCTAACGAACAATTCCACGATCAGTACACATCCCATGAATGGAAACACACACACAGATTACTCAAAGCAGGATTGTAAAGTAGCAAAAACTTCAATTCCTTTAGTAACTAAGGATCAGAAGTGAAAAGGGGAACAAAGAGATGATATACTCACGCTCTCTGTAGGCAGAAGTGGTTTGGGAGGGACACTAGAGAGACTCCAAGTTGAGACAACTACTAGCCCAAGCAGATATGAAAGACTAAGCCCCATTGAGGAAGGTCCAGGGACAGCATCCCAGTAAAAACATCATCGCCTGCCACTGACAGCAACTTGAGGTAGAGACAGATTAGCTTTGCCCATAAGGAGCAGTACCTTAATAGTGGGTCTTATCGTTCTACATATCTGCCAGATCAATACATACAGTCTGTATTACAGGGTCAGGCAAAATATGACCTGTGAGCTACATCTGACCCGTCAACATGCCAGATCCAGCCCAGGGCCCAGTGAGAGCCTCAGCCAGGCTCCCTGTCTGCCTCGCCCCCACCAGTTACCCAATGGGTCTCTGAACACCGTGGCTATGTCTAGACAGGACATCTCATTGTTTATGCAGATTCAGGTTAACACAGCTATCCCTCTGAAACTTCTCTGAATGGACAAGAAGTAGGACTGAGTGGACTTGTAGGCTCTAAAGTTTAATGCTCTTATTTTTAAATGCGGGATTTTTTTTACATAATTTTACACTCGTAAGATCAACTTTCATAAGATCAACTTTCATGATAAGGAGACTGCACTACAGAACTTGTATTAGGTGAATTGAAAAACACTTTCTTTCGTTGCTTATAGTGCAAATATTTGTAATCAATCTGTGCTGTAACTGAAATGAAAATATTTTTAAAAAGGTAGAAAAAATATCCACAGTATTTAAATAAATGGTATTCTATTACTGTTTTATAGCATGATTAATCTTTTTAGTAGTGCAATTACCATTAATTTTTAATCACTGGACAGCCTAAAAATAAAATGCCAAGATCAACTATGGTAGCCTAGAAATAGTGAATATCTTCTATACCACAATTTAAGCATAAAGTTATTTTTGCAATAAAAGGGCAAGTCAATGTGTAACAAAACAAAACAAAACAAGCTGTTTACGAAGACAAAAGCAGAGAAAAGCTTGTTAGAGCATGCCAAATTCTACTCACATCTGCATTTGGCCAGAGCTCCTTAATAACATTTTCTATTCTGTTCACCACTTCCATTCGCATTCTTTCTTCTTCCGGTCTGGGAGACATATACTTGTAGAAATCAATGATTTCTTCGTGAAGACTGAGGAGAGAGAGAAAAGATAAGTTAAAGAGAGAGAAAAAAGTAAAATGGCTGCCATTACCTCAAATGGTTTAGAAATATTTCAAGAACAGTGAGCACTAACTTTGAACAAAAGCATTGCCTCCTTTCAACAGAAGTAAATTCACATTTATGGGAATTTAATTTTAATGTTAACTCACAACACACAGGATTTACAAAGAACGCACATTTAGAAACAATGTGAAAATTAATCAAAACTGCTTTTGCTCACATTAAAAGTGAAAGAAACAGCAATACTAAATATTTTAATATCAGAGTGATTTATAAAGATTTAAATCTTCATGTATGACTGCTATTAGGAGTTCAGGGTTCACACGTTATCCAAATATTTAAGCAAAAGCCTTCTAAGCTAACCTTTTTAGTTAGCCTGTCATCAACTGAGTCATTGCCTGTGTCAGCACAAGCAATTTGTTAACACACACAAAATCAGTTCTGAGACATTTAAACAAATACGAAATAATGTTAACAGCTGTTTGCAATTTGAGTCTTCTCAATTATAGGTACCTGTTTGCCCAATGTTAAGTAGGGATGTTAAATATCGGTTAATAGAATAGCTGATTAACTTCATGAATTCTTATCAGTTACTCAACTATTCTATAGTCTTCGGGAAGTGAGGCCAGCGGCCAATGTGCTCCAGCCCCAAACCCAAAGAGCCGCCTGTCACTCCGCGCTGTCGCCTCTGTATCAAAGTCAGCAGTGTAGGGTGCCAGCTGGGAGCTGGTCTGCAAGGGAAGGCAGTTTAAAAACCAGTTCCCCTCGCAGCCCCGCTGCCTGTTGCCGCATGCTGCTGTCTCTGATAGGGTAGGTCTACATTGCATTCCTCTTCCGAGAAGGGAATACAAATGTAGACGAATGAAATTGCAAATTTGAATTTCCTGCACTTCATTTGCATAATCGCGTCCGGGTGCTATTTCGAAATAGCCTATTTCAAAAAAAGAAACATTGTGTAGATGCGGTTATTTCGAAACAAAACCCTTCAGTCTCATTTTATAAGGTATAAGGGTTATTCTGAAAGAAGGGTTTTCTTTCTAAATAACCGTGTCTACACAGCGTTTCTTTTTTCGAAATAGGGTACTTTGAAATAGCGCCCGAATGCGATTATGCAAATGAAGCATGGAAAGAGGAATGCAATGTAGACATACCCATACAGAGGCCCTGTCTGGGGGAGGAGGGGTCTGAACTCCCTGACTCCGGTGCGAGCCAGAACTGACCTGGGCTGCCTGCCTGCCAACCTCCTAATACACTTTAAATGAAGAGCCGCAGCAGGGGCAGGTCCCGGACTTGACGCAAGCTGACACTGGGCTTAACAGTTAATCAACTACACTATTACGTCCCCAACACTAAGCAGAAACATTCATACTATGCGCTGTATTCTCCTATTAGTTTTAAAAACACACAACACTGGAACACAACAATGGAACATGGTATAGAAAGAAGTTGGTAGTCAGCTGCATTACCTTAAAAATAATGCCCTCTGCCCCATTTTTGGGGGGGAGGGGTAATAAATTATGCTTAGAATAGCTGTTTAAATAATAGTCCAGGTAATCGGTGTATCCTCTTTTTCCTATCATGTAGCAACATCCTCCTGACTAACCAGAAGGCTTAAGCCTATCCCCTCCACCCCACGTTCACTCTGTCAACACCATTGAATTTCAACACTCACTGAATTCCTGCAAGATTAAATAAATCCCTGGCATAGTTTGCTGAGTTCATTTCATTTGTTTCCTACAGTGCCCATTATAGTAGCAGCTAAATGTTCTAAAGAGAGGTGGGTTTTATTTTTTTAAGTTACATGTCAAAACAAAACCTATCTTGTCTGAAGCTCTAGTGGACTGCCAAGGAGAATAATTTACTAAGTTGAAGGTCCTCAGATGGAAGGTGTAAAAGTCTTCCTACACTCCCTCCCTACCCATGCACACAATGCTGGAAAATGGAAGCTATACCATACATCATAAAACAGATGAAGGACATCTGAAAGGAACATGAGTAAAGAGACACACAACTCACATTTCATCCCTCTTTAACATTTTAATATTCTCTGCTTACAAGTAAGAAGACTGTATATTACTAAAATTGAAGAAAGATTAGAGTGCCAAATATTTTTTGGTTTTTACACAGATAAAGACCATGTTCTTTGTAAAGAGTTATTTGCATTTCTAGGTGATGCTCACGCATGCCATTCTGTAGCAATACCTGAGGAACAGTGTTTAACTGCAAAACTGCAAAAAGCTGCTCTCGGGGTACGTCTAGACTACAGAGCTTTTCCAGGATACCGGAAAAGCTCTGCCGCGTCCAAGGAACGGGTCTGCTTTTCCCCAAAAATAATTCAGAAAAGCAGATACATTTTTTTCGGCATCCCTGTAAACTTCTTTTTACAAGGAAGAAGGGATGTTCCGAAAAAAAGTTTTTCCCCCAACATTCCAACGGGCCAACTGTCGGAAAAGCCTCTTTCAGAAGAAAAGCGGAAAAAGATAAGCAAACAGTGGTTTGCAATTTGCGTATCTTTTTCTGACTTTTCTTTGTAATGTAAACACAGCCTAGGTGCTTACTTGGTTGTTGGTATAAAATTTGTCTTCCTACAGTCTTATTCCTTCCTCATCTCCCCACTTGTACTTTTCATTTAAAAATCTTCAAGACCAAAACACAATTAGTGATGTGAATGGTTAACTGGTAAACATCACCCTTACCGGTTATGGTTAACTGGCAGCCTGGCCAGTGCAGCCCCCACCTCAGGCGGGCCCCATCTGGCTGGAGCAACTCCTCCCTGAGGCAGAAAGGCCTGGCCTCCTGCCCACTCCTATTTAAGTGGTTAACTGGTTAAACATAATATTGAACCTGTTAACTGGGATTTTACATTCTTAAACCCTTCCCTCCCCAGTACTGTTTATGATCTGCTACCTGGAGGTATTTAGTTACCTAATCATTTGGTTTGTTAAAAGTCTCCTAGTCTACCACTAATATTTCTTCTTAGCAGTCCTGATGCAACTCAATCTGTTGATAACATTTTACAAGTTCTTCCATCACGATAACTCTGTCATGGTAATTAAGTTTATATGAGACACACATTCTGGTAGAACTCTAGTCTGAACATTCCATGGACAAAAGAGCCTATTAGGCAACAGTCTAGATTTTTCAGTCATTGGGTCACATTATCTCAAACTACTGAGATTTCTAGCTAATAGCCAGAGTACAGAGATTACTGTACTGTTAAGTACAGCCTGCAGACAAAGCAAGATGATACTCCAGAGTCTGTTTGCCACAATCAAAAAAGTGATAACCTAAATCTTCCTCTTTGTAAATTTAAAAAAAGGAAAAAATGGACATCTTTCTGCTTTTTCCCCCATAACCTCTCAAAACATCCAATTTCTATTAACTCAGTTACTTGACTGTTTAGTTTACTGTTGACTAAACTTCAGCTGCTTTTAAGTAAGATTACTCTGTTACAGATTTGTCCCCTATAGTTCTTTATGAACATTACATTCCTGTTAAATCAAATAGCCACAAATCTGTAAGAACCACTATATATTAAACATAATAAGCAGATATCACCTGATCCATATACAATAATAATACTATCATCCAACTCTGAACATGAACCTTCTACATTAAAAATAGTTGTGTTTGATAGTCATTTATCCAACCAAATTATAAAAAAAAAAAAAAAAAAAACTGTTTGCTCTGAAGTGAGGTATTTTGCTGGTTCAGAACCTAACCAACAAGCATTTATAAAAAGGTGGCTCAAGTCCTCCCACCCCAGATTTATACTTGGGACATTACAGGCTGTTTTCTTTGCCATAGTCAGGGAATGATGGGAAAGTGCAGTTTGCTGAATTTCTCTCCCTCTGGTTGAGGGCAGGAGGCAGATGAGCTGCTGTGCACTTTGCTCTCACTGCCTGACAGGAACAGAAAGCTGCTTCAGGCCTTCTGCCCTCCTCATACACAACAACCCCCTACCATGAGCCCCTCCTCATTCCCCCCAACCCTGACTCCTACATCCCCCACACACCTTCAACCCTGTCCTAAACTCTCCACTTTCCAAAGCCCCTGCCCTGACTTCCTGCATCCCCCCCACATCCTCACCCTCTGCCCTGAGCTCTCCCCACTCTCCCCCAGCCCAATACTCTCTAATTTCCTGCCTTGAGCCCTTCACACTACACCCCACACTTAAATTTCTTACAGGTACAGGCTGAACCTCCCAAATTTGGATTCTCTGGTCCAGCAACACCACAGATGTTACCAGATGAGTGTGTCCCGGAGCAATCTGAGACAATGCAGGGGCTGGGGAGCCCTGGACAGGACAGGCAACATCTTGGGAGCCACTGCCCTGGAGGGAGAATCCCAGGCATCAATGGGGCCAGGCAGTGGTGTCAGTGGGGTTGTCAGCAGCCAGGTGGCCCTGGCCATGAATCCCGTGAAAGCCCCAGTGGCAGCGGGGCCAGAGTAACCAGACAGCCTCTGCCGGGGAACCCCCAGATGAAGTGGAGCTAGCAAAGGCGGGCCTCCCCAGCCAGGAAACCTATGGTATCCCCAGTGGCAGCAGTGGGGCTGGGTAGCCGGGTGGCTCCAGCCAGGAACTCCTGGGAACATCCTGAAGCAGTGGGGTCTGGCAGCAGCCAAGCAGTCCCAGCAGGGAATCCTGGGAGACCCTGGGGCAGTGGGTGGGCAGCAGGGTGGGGAGCCATACCAGGCCAACATTAGTAGAGCCAGTGATAGGACAGGGAGCCTCAAGGACAGGAACCTGAGGGGCTGCAAGCAGGGAAGCACTGACCTCCCCTGGTCTGGCAAGTTGCCTGGTCCAGGACAGCTCAGGTTCCAAGAGTGCCAGACCACGGAGGTCTAACCTGTATTGCTGAATATCAACCCCTCTCGCCCAACTTCTTGCCCTCGCAATAGCAGAGTACCTGTAAGAAATTTAAGTTATTTACATGCATGGACTGAACCAAGATGAGCCAGAAACATTG